GGTGGGGGGCGCGTTTCGCTTACCCCCTGGGGTGGCCCACCCCGCACCCAGGGGCCCCCCCATGGGAAAAAGGACCTCGAGGTTGTGAAAAAAAAAAAAAAAAAAAAAAAAAAAAAAAGGCAAAAAAAAGCATGTAAAACACTCCCTTCTAAAAACAAAGGGCTGCGAATTTCTTTATTTCTCTTATTGAGGAACAAAAATACTCTTGCAATGGCTATTGAGTTTCCACAGGTACGAGGCAGATGCTAGGCTAGCACACCCACTTCCAACAGTATGACTTGTTTCCTATCCGTCTACTACCTGAGTGGCGTCAGTGTAGGTTCAGGCACCATTAGGAAAGTTTGACCAAACACGTACACGGCACTGACCGAGGAGGCGCCGGCCTTCCGGTGGACCAGGGCATGTAAAAAAGACACCGACAGAATGGAAAAGAAATCCTCGAAGGGAGAACCTCGCCGCCCGCGCCGCGCCCTCACGGCCGGGCCCCGCGCGCCTCGCGCCGCCGCCGCAGCTCCTCGCGGTAGCAATAGGAGCAGTAGTGCTCGGTCTCCGCCCGCCCGTAGAACGCGCAGTTCTCGCGCTGGCAGCGCCGCTGCGCCGGCCCCGGGCTGCCCCGGCCGCACTCACCGTTCGAGCGCGACGCCGGCGCGTCGGCGTCGGCGAACTCCAGGCCGTCGCGCGCGGCGCCGAAGCCGTTGGTGTAGGTCTGCGACTTGTGCTCGGCCGCGCCCGCCGCCCCCGCCGCGCCCGGTAGGGACCCGGGCACCGCGCGCGCCAGCGACTCGACCGTGTTGACGGTGCGCAGGGCGGCGGCGCGCGCCGGGCTGTAGCTCTGCGACGACAGCGAGCGGTTCTGCTGCGGGTACGTGGCGCACGGCCGCAGCGCCCCCACGGCCGGCGCGCACGCCTCGTCCCGTGCGCCCGCCGCCTGCACGTGGATGACGCTCTGGCGCGCAGGCGCCGGGGGGCTGCGGCCCGGCACGTGTCCGCCGTTGCCCGCGCGCCGCACGCCGCCTCCCGGGGAGGCCGTGCCGCCCGCCGCCGCCCGCGCCGCCCGCCCCGCCGCGGGCCCGGGGCTCGGCCGCTCCTTGAGTTTGAGCACCAGCTGCGTGGGCGGGCCCGGGGACGCGCGCTCCGGGCCCGGCGCGCCCTCCGCCTCCGGTCTGCGCGGCGGCCGCTTGGCGGTGGAGGTGGAGGCGGCGGCGGCGGCGGCGGCGTCCCGGCGCCGCTGCTCCTGCTCGGCGCTGAAGCGCTCCTGCGCGCTGGTCAGGTAGTAGCCGATCATCTCCTCGTGGAACTGGTGCCGGTGGCTGGTGAGCAGCAGGCCGGCGAAGATGAACTTGCGCTCGCCCTGCATGGCGGCGCGCAGGATGTTGAGGCTCAGCTTCACGTCAGTGCTGTACTTCCAGGCGTCGCCCCGCGGCCCGCCGCCCTTCTCCGCCGGCGACGCGCCCGCCCTGTCCGTGGGCGACGGCGTGGTCTTCTCCGACGGCGGCGTGCTGGCCGACGCGCCCGACTCCTCCTTGCTGCCCTTGCGCGACTTGGCCTTCTTCTCCTTGCCGCGCTCGGCCGCGTCCCCATTCTTGCCGTTGGCAGAGTTGGCGCGGCCCATCTTGCCGTGCACCAGGCCGCCGAGGCCGCCCATGTTTTTCTTCAGCTTGATGCCCAGCGTCTTGCTGAAGCTGCCCAGCTTGTTGGCCACGGAGTCCGCACGCGTCTTGTCCTTCTCCTTGCGCTGCTTCTCCTTCTCCTTGTCTTTGCCGTTCTTGCCGTTATTGCTGTTGGAATTGCTGCACACCGAGTCGCGGTCTGAGTCCAGCGAGTCGGCCAGGGACTGCACATCCTCCCCTGCCGAGGCCGTGGGAGACTCCGGCTGTGCCAGGGGTGCCTGTGTGGAAAGGGCGGGCGGGAGAAGGTGGTTAGAGAAGAGCTGTCCACGCGGCGGCCGAGGAAGACGCACCTTGCCCTGTGTTGCCTTGGAGGCTGGGGCCCGCGAGCCTCACTGTCCCAGGGCTGTACGGAAGGAAAGGAGCGGACAGGATCCGGCTCTGATCTGCTGCAGTAATAAAAGGATGTAGGGACCGCTAATCTGCGTGTGTCTTCTGGCCAGGGAAGCTGAGGTGTACTCATTCTTCCTCTCTGGGGAACTCAGGTACTTGGTGGCTTGGAACCCTGAGTGGGGGAGTGGGGCAGGGTGCAGACACCCCACTTGGCCTTGGGCCCCAGAGCCTCGTCACAGTTTAGAGAGAACGATCAGGCCCAGACTCTGGCCTTCTCCCACTGTAGAGGCCGCCTGCTTGACCAGACATGGGTCCCAGGCTGGCCTCTGTAAAAGTGGAGGCCTTCGGGGCTGGGGTGGGGGGGAGGGCGGGGGAGAGTGTGGGGAGGGCTTTGGGCCTGCACAGAAGTGTCTCCCTTGAAAAGATGTCTCACCTGCTGACGTCAGGCAGGGGACAGAAACCTTGCACTCAACCTCATTCGTTGGATATTGGATCAAACACCCCCTTGTTTCAGGGATGCCAAATGGCTTCAGGGGTTCCCTTCTCAGTTTGGCAAGGTGGAGTGCTAAATTGCGAAGGGTTCTGAAATAGGCCTGGGCTCAGCAAAGATGATGTTCCCATTCCCAGAAAAGAGCGCTGTGGAGGTGGGGCGGGGTGGGGAGGACGCTGGGGAGCACACCTTTGATGAGACCCACTGATGTGGTCAGCCAGTCCGAGGAGGGCACGGCCATATCTGGGGCTGGGGGAACCTGAGAAAGGAGGTGGGAGGGCAGAGAGGCAGGCAGCACCTGCTGCTGCTCTGCAGGGGACCTCCCTGGGTGAGGAGAGAATTCTGATGGAGTGTCATTGGATGGGGGTGCAGGGCCCCTCATGCTGGCCCCTGGGTGCTGCAGGAACTGGTGCTTATACCTGAACAGGCTTCCCTGGCCTCCAGGGCATGAGCCTGGGAGAAGGCCCATTGCTCCCCAACTTTTGTCCCCCCCAGACCCCTCAAACAAGTCCAAGAAACGGTAACTATCTTGTGATCAGGCCATCCTGAAGCAAAGGTGAGCAGAACTGACTCTCACCACCTCCCATTCTGAAATTCCTTTCCCCTTCCCACCTGGGGTAGGAAGGTGTGAAATGTGTCAGACCAGTATGTGAGACACTAAAGGGTGGACACTTGGGCTGGGCCAGGAAGGGTGGTGCGCCTGGTGCTAGCAGGAGCGCACTGGGAGCCGGCTCAGGAGCCCCTGGCTGGAAGAACCCTTCTCACGGTTGTCTGCTGAGCACCCTGCATCTGGCTTGAAGGCACCAAGGCCTGGCAGCTGCAGGCAGAGCTACGCTTAGCCCGAGAGCCTTCTGATTCTAGATCCCGAGCCACTGCCATCACTTTCCATGTGGGTGCTAAAGAACAACCACAGCACCACGGGCATGCTCCAGGCCTCTGAGAGGCAGGACTCAGAGTGCCACCGACTGCCTGTCACTATGGCATCAGTAAAATGGCATAGCTGTCTCTGCGTCATGGAGCCCTGGAGGATGAAGTACGGGCAAAGGCTGGAGTCTGGGAGCACTGAACAGTGCCAGACCCGACTCCTTTACTCACGCCCTCCTTTACCCATTCCTTATGAGCCACACTTTATGCCTAAGTAAACGTCTGGAGAGACCAATTATTTGCAGGCTGCTTTTCACAAATCCTTTTCCCTGGCAGTTCCCTACTGAGATTTCAAAAATCACCAGATACTTAAAATGAATCCCTCAGCATCTGCAAGCAGGAGCAGCCCCAACCCTCTGGAGGCAGGTAGCCTCATGGGGCATGGGTCCCTCCCCTCACCTTCCTGCCAGCTGCACCCACCAGTGTACTGCTTCCGGGAGGGGAGGAAGGGGGCGCTGAGGAATGGCACTCTCAGCTCCCTGGCTTTTCTGAGGACCCACACAGTTTATAATTAATGTCTCTCTCCGGCAGCACATCATGTTCTGATCTCAGCAGAGATAGTTGTGTGTTTTGACTTGCCTGTCGTTTGTTTTCTGAGTGGGTGTGTTTATTCCTTCTGCAGAAAATAGGGGGACAAAAATCCCTTAACAGGAGTGCATGCTTGTGTGCACACACACCTACACATGTGTGTACACACCCACTGGGTCCAACCAGAGCTACTTCAAACCACAGCCAGGGTGGCCCCAGCTGCATGCAGCTGGGATGGCTAAGTCAAAGGGGATGGGGGGCTACTGGGCTGTGGGTATGGCTGGGGTGGGCGGCTGGGCAGGCATTCAGGAAGATGCATCCTGGCCGGGCTGGAGGTGAGCAGCCTGGACCTTGCCACCAGGTCTGGTCCCTGCACACGCCAGGCTCACCCGTGTCTCGGAGGGGATCCGGATCCAAGTCACATTCATGTAGCTGTGCAGAAGATTCAGCTTGGCTTCTAGTGAGAGGATAAGGCTGGCAAGAGAAGAAATACCCTATTGAAATGGTCTGAGCTGGCCCTTGTAGCACCCAACCCCCCTGCATGCCAGCCATCCCAGGAGGAGCAGGGGTGGTACAGCCTCTCCCCAGGACGCCCCAGCCATAGCCCTCCCTGTGGGCGCTGTGGGAAGCGGCAGAGTAGGGTCTTACTGGGCCAGCCGAGCGTTATCGTTGTCGTCTTTCCCCCACTCCCAGTCCTTGCCAGGATCCACTGCAAAGTGCAAAGGCAGCAGCTTGTGCTCAGAATCCGTCAGGGGGATCACGGCTGGAACAGAAGAGACAGAGCTGTGCTGGGAGCCCTGGCAGTCCCCAGGGAGGATGGGAAGGGCATTCCCAAGCCAGGTGTCCGGGTGACAAGTGCACTGAGTGGAGATCTACACAGATCTGTGCCAGCAGGAGCATGAAGACCATAGGTTTCAAAACCACTATTGCTGGTTTTTAAAATTTCATATTTACTGTGGACAGTGGAGAGCAGTTGGAAGCATCACCTAGACCCTGGGTCTCTGGGTCTGTCCAATGGCAGATACGCCATTGGACATCAGAATGGGTAAAAAGCTATTGCTATTTCTAGGAAAGACCTAGGCAGGCTAGGCACATTGTGAGAGGCCAGCTGGGGCCCAGCTCTCATCTCATCCCAGAGAAGGGCCGAATGTGCAAGTCAGGTGAGCAAGGGTGTTGCTGACCTCTACTGGTCTGTGACTTTGTGCCACAAGTCTATATTAGTGTCTGAGACCCATGGACGCACCTGCCCTTGCCCGTAGGAAGCTCGCCTGTGCTGGGGACAGATAAGCAGCTTAACAAACACCTCGTATCAGGTGGTGATGAGCCCTGGAAGGGTAAATAGCAGGCAGAAGGCAGTGATGGTGAAGCCTTTTTTGGGTGGGGGTCAGGGGATCCTTCTGAGGAGGTGACATGTAGGTGGAGATTGCCGTGGTTGTTTCTCAGAGGGATTTACTCATCACAACACCTCTGCAGTGAAACTCACCACCTGTGGGAAATCCTGGCTCACTCCAGAAGGGCTAGGGTGGAGGGGGTATCTACAGGTTTGGGATCTTCTAGGAGCTTCTGAGCTGCTGGGGGACTTGGTGAGAGGAGTCCCTGGGGAAATGGCTGACTCCTCCCAAGGGCATTGTCAGGGACAAAGGGCAGGAGGAAGTGGGAGATGGTCTCCCTAAGTCTGTCCTCAGAGCAAGCAGCAGCCTCCTCCATGGGCTCCAGTTAGCTCCCCTGCTTTGCTTCTTTGCTGGGGCTCATGATTCCTGGCAAGGGTGCCATGGCAAGAACAAATAGGCAAGGAAATAGATCAAATGGAAGGCTGAATACCCAATAGTTGATTTGGAAAGAAATTGGAAAAACTGACTCAATGCTGCCCTCCAGTGTTGCTTAAGAGGAAAAGTGGACACAGGTAATCCCCCCTCCCCCCGCACCACTTCTTTCCCAGCTTCCACAAATTGCCTATAAGGGAAAAATGCAGCTTTGCTGACCAATGACCAGCTCTGGGCTTTTCATTAATCTGGCTTGGGATTGGAAAGCACAGTGCTCTGGTTTGAGAGGTTGGGGCGGCTTGGCTTGGCTTCGCTGCAGCCTGTTGGGTTCTGCCTTGACGTGGCTGCCCTTCCCAGGGCTGAGCTGTAGGGTAGACACACCCAGGGAGGGCTGCAGGGCTGCTCAGGGACAGGTCTCCCTTGGGTGGTACCCAGCAGCCTGTCCCATAGTTCTGTGAGTCACTATGCAAACAGAGAAGGGGTTAGCCTCGCTTCCCACTCATGGGGCGGGGCATGGCAGAGGCGCTCCCCATGCCCAGAATAGAGCAGTGCAGCTCCTGGGAGTTCCAAGCCCCAGTGAACAGATGGGCCAAACCAAAGTGTCTGGGAAAATGACTCAAAAAGCGACATTTTAAATAAGCATCTCCCGATCAAGCAAATTCAGGAAATATTGTTCTAGAACAAGAATGATCTGTCAGAAGCAGTTCCTGTGGGAGCAGTTTGGACATTTTAGGTCTGGCGGGGTAGAGTTGCCATTGGAAAGCATCAGCCCAGCCGCCACTCCATGTCTTAGCCGCCCTGCCCCCAGCATTTAGGGTAAACAGGCACCTAGCAGCACCCATGGTCTGTAGGCAGAAGCAATGTGGGAAGTGCTGGCTGATGTGCTCAGATATGGGGGCCTCTCCCCACTCCCCTGCCATGGTGCCTGCGGAAGACGGCGGATCTCCACTTGAAGAGCTGCCTGCCAACCAAGAACACCCCTTTAGACTTCGCTTGTGTGGGAACCAGACTTCCATTGTGTTAAGCCACTGTGATTTTGGTTTGTTTGTTTCAGATAAACCACCTAAGCTAAGACAACAGCCCAGACAGTCACCCTCACCTCCCTATCATGGGGTTCCTGGGGACTCCTCAATGGTGGGGCTGGAACGGACTCTCTGGGCTGCCCAGGGCTCCAGTGCACGCTGGGAATACCCCTGAAGGTGCTAGTACCTCTCCACCTAGAAGGGCCTGGCAGCCTCATGGCCTCGATCTGGGTGGAGTGAAGGGCCAGGTACTGAGAGAGGCTCTACGGACACGCCTGCTCACAGTTGAAGACACGGAGGGACCAACAGGAAGGCTTCTCTGCAGAGGGTCAACGGCGGCCTGTGGTGAGGGCTGGGGCTGCAGAGCCCAGGGAGAGTTCTGGCCAGGAGGCCATGAAACAGGCCCTCCTCGTGAGCAGTGGCTGCTGGGGATGCCTCTGCCTGTCACTGCACACCCTGAGATTTCCCTATTGGAAACCTGCTTTACCAGCGGGGAGCAGCCACGCAGCGGCTTGCCCTCTGGTGGTAAATGTCTAGAACAGCAACTGCTTTTCAAAAATGAGCCTAGAAAGATGGGAAAGGTGTTTTGTTTTCGTTTTTGAAAGGCCTCTTTTATGTCTTTTAGCCTGGAAACAAATAGGCATCATCTCAGACTAGCCTGAATATATTCTGAGTACTTATTTTCTAAAAAAAAATCAAGATTTCTGGTTTTTGGCATGTGACAACATGCCAATCAAACACAAATACACAACTTATCTTTAACTCCCCGGACAGCTGAAGTCACAGGGGAGACGACTTACCCAAAATCTAAGAAAAGACAGCTGCCTCCAAGGAGAGACAGGAACGAGCTTAAGAGGGGCCAATTCAGCTGGACCCCAGTAAGACTAATTCAGCTAAAATGGTTAAAATGGTAAAGGAAGAGTATCAGCTAGTGAAATAATATGGTGCCCTGGGAGCTGAAGATATAAAGGAAATTCACATGCACTTGCAGGCTCTTCTCCACAGGACCTAGCCGGTTCTCCCAAAAAAGATCGGCAAGAATTCTGAGAAAGTGTCTCCATAGATATTTTCCATGTTATCTTTACCAAGGAACAAAAGCTTAAACGGCAGAGGGTAGGAAAGTGAACACTGGGTGCACTAAGGGTCATGTTCTCTGTTACTCTGATTCAGCATCTGTCTTAGGCAGGCACTACATCCCTGGATCTGGGGATGGGGGTGACCTTCCTCGGCTATTGTGACTAGACTGGTCCAAACCCAGACTCTAAAAACCTGGCAAAAAAAAAAAAAAAAAAAAAAAAGGCATGCATCATGCGTCTTTCCAGGAATGAAAGTGATTCACTGCAGTCTTTACTGTCCTACTTAAGATGTCTGGCTTTCAACAACAACAACAACAACAACAACAAAAACCTATGAGATGAAAGGAAAGATAAGAAAAAATCCAACACATCGATGAAAGACAAAGCAGTTGATAGAACAAGACTCAGATATGACATGTATTTAAACTATCAGACAAGGAATTAAAAATAACTAATTAACAAGGACTAATAGAAAACCTGGATACCATGCAAGATTTGATGGTTAATTTTAGCATAGAGAACAAGTCTATGAGAAATGATTAAATGAAAATGCTAGAAATGAAAAACACAATCATAGAGGTAAAGAATGATTTTGAGGGGCTGGTCAGTTGACTTCATATAGCTGAGCAAAGAATCTGGAAACCTCAAGACAGATTATTAGAAATTACACAAACTGAAACACAAAGAAAAAAAACGAGGCGGGAAACTGAACACAGTATATAAGAGCTGTGTGACAATATCAGGTAGCCTAAGTTCTGTGTAAATAAATCCCAGAAGAGAGAAAGAACAAGGCAAAATAAAATTTTAAAGAAATAATGGCTAAAAAGTTTTCAAAATTAATGACAACCATCAACACAGATCTAAGAAACTAAGAGAACACCAAGCAGGAAAAATAACAACAAAAATACTTCTATAATGGCATCTTAATGCTTCCGAAACCCAAAGACAAAAAGCAAGTCTCGAAGGCAGCCAGAGAAAAAAAAGGATACATTACATAGAGAGAAACAAAGATAAAAATCAAAGCAGACTTTTCATGGTAAGCCAGGCAAGCCAGAAGATAATGGAGTGACATTTTTAAAGTGCTGAAAGAAAAAAAAAAAAAACAACTGTTCATCTAGCATTCTATGCCAGCCAAAACATCTCTGAAACATGAAGAAGACATAAAGAGTTTATCAAACAAAAATGGGCAAATTAATTGCCTACAGACCTGAACTACAGGAGACGTTAAAAGTACAAGGAATATGTTACCAGTAGAAAATTGTATGTACACAATTAAGAGTGATGGAAATGGAATGAATGGATGTGAAAATTCATTTTTTTCTTCCTTTTAATTGCTCTAACAGATAACTGTAAAGCCAAGAGCAGCAGTATCAATAACAGATTTTGTAAAAATAAAATATCTGATAATAATAGAATGGGGGGAGGGACTGGTAATACACTGTTGTAATATCCTTATACAACATGTGAAGCAGAATAATCTTACTTAATATAGAATCTCATTCATTAGGCCAGGTGCGGTGGCTCACACCCGTAATCTCAGCACTTTGGGGGGCCAAAGCAGGTGAATCACCTGAAATCAGGAGTTTGAGACCAGCCTTGCCAACATGGTAAAACCCTGTCTCTACTAAAAATACACAAATTAGCCAGGCGTGGTGTTGTGTGCCTGTAATCCAGCTACTCCGAAGGCAGAGGCAGGAGAATTGCTGGAGCCTAGGAGGTGGAGGCTGCAGGGAGCTGAGGTTGCGCCACTGCACTCCAGTCTGAGTGACAGAGTGAGACTCCCTTTCAAAAGAAAAAAAAGAATCGCATTAATTAAATATGTTTGTTGTAAACCCTAGGGAAACCACTAACAATTAAAAATAGATACGGTGTCTGCTCTTCCTGGGGCCTGTAATCACTGTATCTATTAGCCTCTGTCACAGGGTGCTCTCTCTATAGGATGGGCAGGGCACCATGGCAGAGGGTGACACCTGGGCTTCACAGTGGGGGCCGGTGGTGTCCTGGGGCTTGACGTTCTGGAGTCTCCCACCTCCTGCCTCCCACCAGGGTCTGCAACTCTGAGGTCTGGGCAGCTCGCTCCAGCAGGCCTGAGCCTGCGGCTGTGGTGTGGCAGTCTCCTGTTTTGTGCTCAGGGGATGCGGGGTCCCATCCTGGAAGCTGCAGCCTCACTGTGATTTCCATGTCCCTCTCGCTGAGATGTGGTGTGACTTGAGAGCACAGCTGGGACTCTGTCCCACCCCCAGTGTCCCTTGAGGCACGGAGGGAGGGCTGCAGAGGTGAAGGTGTAAGGGGGCACATAGTCCATGACAAAGAGCATGACCATGGCACCTGCCCTGCAGTGGGTAGTGGGGACCTTGTGGGTGAATGTGCAGCCTGGCCACATGATGGTCTTGGAGGCAGGGACCTGCAGCACCCCAGGAGGACCCCAGCGGGCTGCTCTGGCTGTGAGGGAGCCACAGGCCCACACCACAGTGGCTCTGAGAGGTGGACTGGGACCAGATCCCACAATGAACTATGGTGGGCCATTGTTCATTAATATTTGCTCTTGAAGTTTTTTTCCCCCCTTTAATTTACATCTAAGACCAATTACGTTTCTATAAAATATGTATTCATGTGAAAGAGAAAACAGTAAAAGCTATTTAAGGGTGGGATTTCTTTGTTTAGTATTTTAAAGATAATGTTGTCTGTAACACTGATATTTTCAATGAAAACATTTACACATACATAAGGTAATTTTATGCAAAAACCGTCACTGCTGAGTGTGCACAGGTGTGCTTCTAAGGGGAGGTCCCCACAGTCCACCTCCCTATGCAACGGGGTCCCTTCTGATGGCTCCGCCCCCGCCCCAGGGCCCTGCACGCACTCCTTCGGGAGCCGGGCATACCTTGTTCTCTTTGCTGGTCTCTCTGTTCCATGGACACAAGGGCAGAGAAATGCGCTTGATCATAGGCCAGAACCAGAGGCGAGCAGTGACATCTGTTGGGAGGGACCTCCAAGGGCAGGTAGATCCCTCCGAATGGGATGGGTGCGAACGCTGTGGACACAAACCAGGGTAAAGGTGTGAGGAGCAGGCAGCCCCAGCTGGGAGGGGAGGCTCCTGCATCCCTGTCCCTCACTATCCTAGGATGCTCCGTGGAGGAGCAGAGGGACGGGGGCGGGGGAGGGGGAGAGGGGCAGATGGAGGCGGTGCTGAGCATTTCCAGAGTCATCTGCCTGCCCCAGGACTCCTGCTGCCCTGAGACCTGCACAGGTGTTCAGGAGCCCGGGGCTGGGATGAAACTGTCACCCAGGATGGTCAGAGCAGCTGCAGCCTGGAAGCCCGCGGTTTTCTGGATGCACCTCTTCCTCTCCTAGTGTTTGGTAACGCATTTGTATACAACACAGTATCTACACTTCTCAAGGGCATATTTGTTCTATATTTTGAGAACCCCTTCTGTTTAATCTGAAGGAACCAGCCAGAGAGGTCCAGGACCAAGCTGTAAGTCAGATGGGAAATGAGAATCAGAGGGGTCAAGTCCTTCAGTGACAGGGACACAATCTCACTCATTTCCTGACTCACAAAAAAGAGGGCAGAGGCCAGGCATGGTGGCTCATGCCTGTAATCCCAGCACTTTGAGAGGCCGAGGTCAGGAGTTTGAGACCAGCCTGGCCAACATGGTAAAGCCCAGTCTCTACTAAACACGTGCACCCCACCCCCGCCCCCGCAACCGCAACACACACACAAATTAGCCAGGTGTGATGGCATGTGCCTATAGTCCCAGCTACTCAGGAGGCTGAGGTGGGAGAATCACTTGAACCCAGGAGTCAGAGATTGCAGTGAGCGGAGACCACGGCATTGCATTCCAGCCTAGCAGAGTGAGACTCCCTCTTTAAAAAAAAAAAAAAAAAAGGGCAGAAAAGCCTAAAACCCTCACCAAAATAGAGTAACTTCTGGAAGCATCTGTCCTAAAGGAGCATCTGCTTTTAGGTCATAAAACGCCTTGCCTTTTGGCCCCAGAGTCAGTGAATTGCTGCACCCCTTGAGCAGAATTCAGGGATGGTAATTTCAGGCACGTCTTTGATGAACTCTTAGTTCCTCCCCACCCTCACTTTTTCTAAAGCAGATCACTGTGGTTCTGCCCACAGGAGAGTCTCATTGAGAGGCGGCAGGGTGGGGCACCCTGCAAGAGAGCTGTGAGTAGAACGGTAGGAAGCATGGACCTTCCCCCATCCCACAACTCAGAGATCTGATCCGGCAGAGATCAGATCAGTCCTGGGCTTACACAGCAGGGCCCTGATGCACGTCCCAGCGCTGCACGGAGAGCTGAGGCCTCAGCAGGCCTGCGTCCCTGAGCCACACAGGGAAGGAGGCAGGCCAGGCAGGACCTGTGTCCTTCTAGTTCCCGGGCTACGCCATCATCGTGGCCACATCAGATTTTTTTAAGGCGGCTGTGATTTAGCATGAAGAGTCACATCCTGATTTGTAGGACTCCCTGGAAGACCTGTGACTTTTGTGAAGGTGCAGGGGTAAATTCACACTGGGCTGGAGGGATGCTCTGGGCAGCTGCATGCTGGAAGCAGGACAGGCTTTGGAAGACCGTCCCTGCCCTGGGCTGATCCCTGCTGGGGACACTGCCCAGCCTCTCTGGGCTTCAGTTTCATCTCTGTAAAGTGGGAAGGGTGGTGTACATCCTTGGAGGCTGTGGCTAGGACTGAATGGAGGAACATTTGAGGAGAGGTCGTGCACAGGGTGTGGCTTTCGGTGGGCCGGCCATAAACTGCCCTTGCCTCTTTCTCTGCCAGTTTCTGATTCTACCACAGTCTTGCCTAGTGACTCTATGCATTCTGTCTTCCTTTATTTTGGGTGAAAAAGCCACTGTCTTCAACCCACACATAACCTGTGGAGGGGCGGGAAGGCACCTGGGGGACCGAGTGCCTCCAGGACATGGCCCAGGGCTGCTGGAGGGGTGTGGGCTGTCTCCTGTGCCCTACACACATGACAGGAGACAGGAACCCCTCTGGGCTTCGTCCTGGTCCTCACACAACCAGATTTCTCCTGGCCACTTGCTGTTGACAGGCAGGGCAGCTGGTCAAGAGCAGTCCCTGCTGCCATCAAGGAGGCAAAAGAAACAGGTTGAGTAGATCTTTGCACAGAGTGATGCTCTGTGGCCTCTGGGAGCTCGACCTTGCATGTGCTGCCTGCCCTTTAGCTGGGATGCTAGGCTTCCTGGGTCATGAACACAGCACATCTCTTTGAGGAACTTACCTTCTCCACCTGAGTCTCTTAACATTGTATCTGCCACAACAACAATGGGTCTTCTTAATATATGGGCGAGGACAAACACATGGAACTCTTCCAGGCTCTCGTACACGGGGTCCTCAGAGTTGTCCACACTGTGAAACAAAACAGAGCCAGTCGGTCACTGACTAAATCAGGGTGGAGGATGGGGAAAGTGGGGGCTGCTTTATGCAGGGGCTGAGCCCTCCCCACTCTGGATCTCATCTTCATGGACCCCGGCAGCCGCACCATCCCGGGCCACTTCTCATGCCATCCGCCGTGGCAAACACACAGGTCCCAGCTCCCTAACCCCACCGTGGGAACAGTCTCAGAAGACGAGTTGGAGAGGGCCCGCAGGTGAGGGGTGCTGGCCACTGTGAAGGTGAGTCTCTCCGCAGGCGGAGGCGGCCCACCAGAGCCTGTGGCAGCAGGGCTGCTGGTTCTCTGGAGTGTTTCACAAGGAAGCAGTGGGAACTGGAGGGATGGAGGGTTCCTCTCTGTTCATTTCCCTGGGCACATCTCATGGGCGGGGGGGTCATTACCACCAAGATCTGAGGGGCCTTCTAGAAGACGCTTGCCCCAGTGGAAGAGAACAGTGAGAAGGCTGTCTGGATTTTGATCCAGAGCTGGAGGGATGCAATGTGAATGTGCAGTCCAGGTGGCCCAGACCCTCCCCATCATGCCCCAGGCTCATGACTGATGCTCAGGGAAAGAGCAGGCTCAAAGATGCTTCCACTTCTAAGACGTTTGGGCAGACGGCAGCAGCCTTGATGTCCCCCCACAGCAGGGACACCCAAAAGGGAGGCGCACATTGAGAGGAAAGGCAGAGCTCACAGCATTACTGGGCCTCGGCTACACCTGCAGTGCCTGCCAGCTGAGGTGGCAGTACCCAGCCCCAAGACTCCCAGAGGTGGCTCTCAGGCTTGTTCCTGAGTGTCTGAGGAAAGCCCAGAATTAGCTGAGGGAGTCCGTGAGGACAGCGGCAGGTGGGGCCAGGGCCGGCAAATGTGGCCCCTGGCATGGCCTGGAGAAAGAGCTTCCTAGGTTCCTGGGCACAGTTCCCAGCCACCTGCTTCACTGACTTCCGGAAAGCAGGCTGTGAATACTAGGGAATGCATTACCATCACCTGGGAAATTTTGGATACATACTACCTGTATTTTTTTTCTTGTTTATTCTTTTTCTTATGATTCGATTTACTTTTATTTTTGAGACAGAGTCTTGCTTTATTACCCAGGCTAGAGTGCAGCGGCATGATCTCGGCTCACTGCAACCTCTGCCTCCCAGGTTTAAGCAATTCTCCTGGCTCAGCCTCCCAAGAAGCTAGGATTACAGGCATTTGCCACCACCCCCAGCTAATTTTTTTTTTGTATTTTTAGTAGACATGGGATTTCACCATGTTGGCCAGGCTGGTCTCGAACTCCTGGCCTCAAGTTACCCGCCAGACTTAGCCTCCCAAAGTGCTGGGATTACAGGTGTGAGCCACCATGTCCAACCCAATTTACTGTGTTTTAACACTTCAAAAAATTGGCAGCAATCAAAACCTCAAAGAACAGTTGTGCACACATAGTAAAAAGAGCTTTTGTTTCCCTGAACCATTTGAAAATCAATAGCCAGCCTGGGGCCCCATCACCCTGGAAGCTTCTTGCTCATTCTCTATGAACCGAACATCCTCCTACACAACCACCACACAGCCATTAACATATAACACGGTTATATGCAACCACCCGACCCCACACGTGTGTGCCAGTTGTCTCAATAAAGCCTTTAGAACAAAGGTTCCTGTTCGGGGTCACGTGCTGCATTCAGTAGTGGTGTCTCGTTCGTCTTCGTCACCTGGAATACTTCTCAGGAAATCCTTGACTTCCATGACCTTGACCCTTTTGAAGATTGCAGACTAGGTATTTTGTAGAATGTCCTTCATGAGGGTTTCTCTATTTCTTCATGGTTAGACTGGATTGGGTCAAGCTGATTCCTTCTTGTGACATCTTGTCAGGTTGTGTGAATTGCAGATTGTCCCATCACTGGTGAGGCTCACCTGGACCGCTCCTTAAGGTCATCTCCCAGGCCTTGCCCCTGCAGAGCTACTAATTTCCCCTTTGAAATTAACAAGCATTTTGTGGGGAGGAACTTGAGCCTATGCAAATACTCCATTCCTCACCAAATCTTTATATGTTTAGGGGTATCACTATGGGATTTTGGCTTTCTATTTTATTCAATGGGTTATAATCCATTAGTGTGATTATCTGGATGCTCAGGTGCTCCTTAATGTGGTCAGTGTGGCTTTTCTAAAGCTGGATCTGTGTCCTTATGACATCTTCATCATTTCTTTTTGTTTTGTTTTTTGAGACAGGGTCTCACTCTGTTGCCCTGGCTGGAGTGCAGTGGTGAGATCATAGCTCACTGCAGCCTCGAACTCCTGGGCTCAAGTGAGCCTCCCATTTTGGCCTTTCAAGTAGCTGGGACCACAGGGCACCACTATGACCAGAAAACTTTTCATTTCTGTAGAGACAGGGGTTTCCCTATGTTGCCAACACTGGTCATGAACTCCTGGGTGCAAGTGATCCTCCTGTCTCAGCCTCCCAAAGTGCTGGGATTACAGGTGTCAGCCACTGTGCCGAGCTCTCATCATTTCTTAGAGCACTTTCTTGCTTCTTGGTGCAAAAAGATGGTTCAAGTTCATACTCACACATGGATACATACTTGCATGTTTATTTTCATCTTTCTCTCCCTCTCCATGTTTATTTATTTTCATCTTTCTCTCCCTCTCAATATTTATAGAAAACCTTGAGTTCATTGATACCTCCAATTCCAATCCAACCCCACAAAGTTAATTCTACTTGTAACTTTCTTCACTTACCATGAGAAAACTTGTTTGTATTCATTCTAAAGAATTTCCTTATTTAATCAATCTTCCCTATGTCAGCTATCTCCTCCTCTGCTCCCCCTCCCCGAGGTGGCCCTTTACCTGTTTGGCTGACATCTGGCTCTGGCCCCTGGTGTCCTCCCATCCCCCACCCATTCCAGATGCCACCTTGCTTTGACCCACCTAATGGCTTTAGAACTTACTTTTTCATTGAGGAAGGAAAGGAAAGTAGAAAAGGAATGTTTTAAGTATGTATTGACAGGGATACATGTTCACACATACACACACACGTTTTATGCCAGGTCTAAACAGGGCACTCCTGGGTGTGCATTTTGAAACATCCCAGGTGATTGGCCTGCGTAGCCACAACTGAAAGCCAAGCTGCGGTGCCTGGGGGTCAAATGCTTCTGGAAGTTGCTTGTTTGTCCCTGTTGCCTAGCATGTGCTGAGTGCCAGCAAGTGAATGGTTGAACAAGATAATGAACAGCACAGGAGGAGAGAACATGGAGTTACAACCTGCACACCTGGAGAGAGAAATACCCCACTTAGAAATGTGGAGCACAGATGATCAAATAAGAAATTACCAGTTATTTTCTGCATTTATGGAGATGATCATATCGTTTTTCTTCTTAATTCTGTTTATGTGATATATCACATTTATTGATTTGTGTATGGCAAATCATCCTTGCATCCCTGGAATAAATCCCACCTGATCATGGTGTATTATCTTTTTGATGTCCTGTTATATTTGATTTTCTGGTATTTTGTCAAGGATTTTTGCATTCAATACAATTCAGCATCACTTCATGATGAAAATCCTCAACAAACTAGGCATAGAAGGCACATATCTCAACATAATAAGAGTCATATATGACAAACCCACAGCCAACGGCATACTTCATGGGGACAAGTCGAAAGCCTTTCCTTTAAGGACTGGAACAAGATGAGGGTGCCCATTCTCACCACTGTTATTCAAGAGAGTACTGGAAGTGGCTGCAGAGCAGTCAGGCAAGAGACAGAAACAAAAGGCATCCAAATTAGAAAAGAAGAAGTCAAATCATCCCTTTGTTGATGATATGATTTTATAATTAGAAAACCATAAAGACTCTACCAAAAACCTCTTATATTTGATACATGAATTTAGTAAAGTTTCATACTGAAAGCAGTAGCATTTCTATGTACCAGTAACCATCTAGCTGAGGACTAAATCAAGGAGGCAATCCCATTTATATTAGCTACAAAAATATCGAGGAATATATTTAATCAGGGAGGTGAAAATCTCTATAAGGAGGACTACAAAAACATGGAAGAAAAAAATTGTAGATGACACATATGAATGGAAAAACATCTCATGCTCATGGATTGGAAGAATCAACATCATTAAAATGAATATGTTGCTACAACAATCTACAGATTAAATACAATCCCTATCAAGTTACCAATGTCATTTTTCACAGGATTAGGAAAAAACAATAAATTTCCTATGGAACTGAAAAAGAGCCTGAATAGCCAATGGAATCCTAAGCAAAAAGAACAAAGCTGGAGGTGTAATATTATCTAATTTCAAATGGTACTACAAGGTTATAGTAAACAAAACAGTATGATAGTGGTACAAAAACAGACACACAGACCAATGGGACAGAATACAGAACCTATTAATGAAGCTACATACTTACAACAAGCTGATCATCAACAACACCAACCAAAATATATACTGGGAAAATGACACTATTCAATAAATAGTGCTGGGAAAATTGCATAGCCATATGCAGCTCAACAAGAAAAACAAATAACCCCATTAAGAAGTGGGCAAAGGACACGAACAGATATTTTTCAAAGGCACACATACAAATAGCCAAACATATGAAAACATACTCTACATCACTAATTACCAGACAAATGCAAATTAAAACCACGGTGTGGTACCATCTTACAATGGTCAGAATGGCTACTACTAAAAAGACTAAAAACAATATGTTGATAAGGATTTGGTGAAAAGGACACATATACTGTTGGGAGGAATGTAAGTTCATACAACCTTTATGGAAAACACTGTGGAGATTTCTCAAAGAACTAAAAATAGAACTACCACTCAATCCAGCATTCCCACTACTAGGTATATACCCAAAGGGAAATGAATCATTATATCAAAAAGATACCTGCATGTTTACTGTAACACTATTCACAATGGCAAAGATATGGAATCCACCTTAGTGTCCATCAATGTAGGATTAGATAAAGAAAATGTTATA